ATGACCTGATGGCCGTTGTTCCAGGTGTAGAGCACCCTCTCCCGCGGGTTATAGTCCAGCATGGATATGTGGGAGTACTGGTTGTGGAAGGGAATATCCGTGTATTCGTAGCTGGAAGTGTTTGTGTAGTAGGCAAAATAGATCTTGGCGCCGGCAAGGTGGGAGTTGGTGACGTAGAGGGTGCCGCAGATCATGAAGGACTCCCCGGCGCTTCGTTTGGGGTACCCCGTGTCCCAACTACGCAGGACCTCCAGCGTTTGGGGGTCCACTCGGCTCACCACGATGTTCCCGGCGTTTTGGTTGGTGGTGTAGACGGCCCACAACCCGTTCTCGTCCACCATGAAGTCGATGTCGGAGAAACCACCCCAAGAATAAGGGAAGGTGTTGTTGTAGCCGGCGCCGGCCAAGCTGCGCTGCACCAACACGCTGCGGGAGCGAAAGTGGTACTTCACCGCGATGTTACTCTGATATTTGTTGTAGTAGAGGGACCCGTTGAAGACGACGTGGCCGGTGCCGGCCCAGGGATGCGGCAGGAGGTGCTGCACGAAGTTCTGCCCCGTCACGAAGTCGTTCAAGGTGCGGAACTCCAAGACGCGACGACCTTTGTAGTAACCGTCCATGTACCACACCTGCGGTGGGCTCAGGTTAGGGATGCCCGGCCAAAACGGGGGGCGCCCCCCCCCAACACACACACGCACACACACACGCCCATCGAGATGGGCTCCCGGGACAGACGGACACAACCCGCATCCTGCACAACTCCCGCAGCCGCGTGCCAGCGCGCCAAATTTTTTCCGGTTTCCCCCTGGAAAGACATTTTCTGCTCTTTCCACGGCTCAAACGCTCGGCTAATTTTTAATAAGAGGGGGGTCCTTCGTTAGAAACCTCCGGTGATTGAGCCGCGAGGCCCCAAGGAAGCTCCCGCGCAGCCTCCCACCGCGGCGGTCCCGTTTCCCTCGTTCCCACGTGGCAGAGCTTCGTGGAGGCAGCGCGTGGCCCACGGGCAACCAGGCAGAGGGCCAGCAGCCCGGCCAGTGGGCAACCGAGCACGGGCAGCCCAGGTAGCGCGGTGTACGGGCAGCGTGCGCTGCAGAGAGC